TTCTAGAAGAGGAAAATCTGGACACAGAGACACAGAGGGAAGAAAAAAGATGTAAAGGTGAAAGCAGAGACTGAAGGAATGTATCTGTAAGTCCAGCAATACCAAGGTTTGCTGCCAACTACCGGTGGCTACACAGCAGCTATGTGGCTATGTTAGTCAAGGGATCTGTCCCCAGAGTTTTTAGAGAGCAGGACCCTGTTGACATCTTGGCTTCAGTCTTTCAGCATCCAGTACCATGAGAGAATCCATTCTACTAGTTTTAGGTCCCTGGCTTTGTGGTACTTTGTTATAGCAGCTCTAGTAAGATGATACACACCACCAAAGAACTCTCCTCCTACAGCTCCATTTCCTTTTAAGTGATAACAAAGGAGAAACTAAAAACAGGAAGCCTAAAACATGGTGGAAACTTTAAAAATCTTTCTACTATCTCAGAACTACTGGCCCTGGCCTATGTCCAAAAGCCTGTTACCAAGTAATTCATCAATAAATAAGTATAATTATCACATTTGTTATTCCCTTATTAAAATTAATGAAGTATTATCTAAAGGAATTGTAGTTGAGAGGTAGAGAAGAAAGCTAACCTCCATTGTAGAAGAAATATCACACATGAGTAATCTTTTTCTTATTCTGTATATTCCCAAGCAAGAGCAGAGCAAGGGAATTTTTAGTGCTTATCTGCCTGATCAGAGGTGTAATTAAAGAGAATTGAGGTTTTTCCTGGCATTCATAGGGAGTGATCACAAAAAGGGAAATGTACATCTCCGTGTGCAACAGCCATGTTTGTAGGTGAAAAGAAACCAAGACTGCAACAGAAACAAAGTACAGACATGGTTAGGGGAATGGATAACATGTGGAATACTGGAAGCCTACATGTGACCCTTTTAGGGAGAGAGAAAACCATGGTTTTGCTTTCTTTTTCTTTCTTCCATTCTTTTAGACTAAAGAGGAATAAATACTGTGAGTAGCACATCAGTTGATAAATAGCCTATAGTTGAGCAATATTCTGAGGATTCAGATTTTCCTTGGAAGACATGGTCTTTGAAATTTTTTTTTCAAGATTTAAGATAAATGGAAAGATAGTCACCATTTTGGATCCTCTGGCCTCAAACCCTGGGCATCACATATTGTGCTATGCAATGTTCAGAAAACAGATTATATTGCCATGTAAAGGATGAATAAAGGAAGATAAAGCATTAAAAGATTCATTCACTGAGTAGCAAAGTTATGATCCAAAATCAAGTGTGCATGATTCTTAAGCTTATGTTGTACCTCAAAGTCCATTTTTCCACTCTAATATTTCTTAGGATGTATGTGTTCATGATAACATCAGCAGTTGACTGAGTACATTTCAACACAATGTGAAGTTGTGTGTGTGTGAGAGTGTGTACCTGTATACCTCAGCCAAAGTTACAATTGAGGGGCAGCTCACTTGTAACAGGGAAGCCACCAGGCAGAGTGGGGTATGGGATTTAGATCAGACACTGTAGCTACTTGAAAGGTGGCTACTTGGAAGTCAACTCTTAACCAACGTATTGAATGCCAAATTGGATTTTCTTACGTGAGATTAGTACTTTATCCATTAACATCAATATTAGAGAAGAGACTCAAAGCTGAAATTAAATATAGTAGTCATTTGCAAAACATCTCTTAGACATCCCAACCTTATATGAAGATGGTATTAGAACCCAGTAAGGGCTGTGACCTGAACCCTAATACAGACGCTGGAGTTGAGCTTTCTGTGGCCTGGCACCAATTCTGAGGGTAGCTGAATCTCACTGTTCAGTGTTGCTGCTTTCAGAAACCATTTTATTCCAGGTCTGGGAAGTCAGAGAGCTGGGAAGCCATTGAGTTTACCATAAAGTTTGCATTAACCATGATGTGCTTACTTGCTGATGAATGTAGAAAGCATAAGAACTTAGTCTACAATTTCCTTTCATTGCTCTCTGGGTATAAAGCTATATGAGATTAGTTGATTTTTCATGTATCTAACTTTTTAGTTATCAGAAAGAATCTACAGATGTATATGTAAAATGGCTACAGTTAATCTATAATTCTTCCCTTAAGATTATTTGTATCAGAATAATTTGAAATTTAGAATTCTTCATTTTCTCAGAATCCTATGTCTGAAAGTTCAAGAAGTAAGGCCTGAGATTCTATCTGCATTGTAATGAGGCCCTCTGTGGTTCTTCTATACACTAAGGATTCACTCAAGAGGATACAATCAAAAAGCATCATGATAATTTGCTGACAGTATATCCCAAAGGCAGACCACAGATCCAACAGGAAGCCCTAACTGCTACATTTAGAACCATGATCTGTAAAGCAGTAATATGCAGCATACCCGTAAAGTCCTACACCTTATGAACTCTACGTCACAAATGTGAGGTTTGGGCTATTTGCTTAGCCATCTAGATCAAGGGAAATGGAATCTGCCTTAGGCATTCAGCAAGGCTATCCACAGATAGCAGTCTTCCAGTGAGGACAAGGCTAGCAATTGTCAATAGCTTTTCAACTAACAATTGTGATCTATTGCCCATGACAGTGATAAGGACTGTTAGCCAAAAGCCCATCATATTGTATACATTTTGGGAGGGAAATTAGTTTGGTTATTAAGTTGCTTTCCTTTTTCTTTTTCTTCATATCAATCAGCCCCAGTTCACTCACTTTATGACATCTTTTCTGACTTTCATCTACTCATAAAATATTTATTGAGAAACATTTTAGAATCATGCAGTCTTCTTAGGTCCCAGTAAACATCATGGAAGATTAAAGCAGTGAGGGGCTGGTTCAGGACTTTTGTCTCTTAAGTTGGCACTCATTAGAGGGGGAAAATGCCCCCAGAAGCAGCCAGAAATCTTGTATTCAGCAGTTGACCACAAACTCAATGGCAAGTCAGTAAAGCTCCAGGAGCTTTCTGCTTCTTTCTCTACACAACTTGGAATAAAATGCTTGTCTTGCCTATTTTACAGAATTTACTAATTCATTCATAAATATTTATAGCTCATCTCTTATAGTCTAGGAATTTTTCTAGGACCCTGGAGGATATAGCAGGAAACAATGCAGACAATGTAATCGGTTTCATGTTGGCTTACTCTAATAACTACAGGAGACCAAAATGCATACTGTGATATATAAATATGTATTTATATTAACAAATAGCTATGTATTAATAGAAATATTTTTAGAGGCAAATACATATCTTCACATATTTTAAAAACTTAAACCAAAGGCTTCCTTAAGGATATGATGCATGGATTTTACATTTCAAATTGTATGATTTTGGATGAGAAACACAATAATTTAATGGAAAGATATGTATTGATCTAAATTACACACCTAGTACTTTAATGAAACACATCTTCATATTTCATTTATAATAAAAAGTCATATTCTGGTGAGATGAATTTTTTCACATAGAAGAAATGCCAGGTCCATGCTCCAGTACTTTTTCACCCATATTAGAATTTGTCACTCAGAGTTTTCCATTTCGTGAATTTTTTCACTGCTTCAGAATCAAATATTTGTAAATGTTGGTTTCTCATATGAGGAAGCCCATAGTGCAAAGTTCCTAAAATGGCCCCAATATTCCCTGGCTCTGAACATTCACACCTGTGTAATCACCTTCCTTGAAGAGTGGGCTAGACTTAGTAAATCACTTCTAACAAATTATCTATACTAAGAATGGTAGAAGGTTACTGTCAAGATTATATTATAAAGAAACAATAACAAAAATCAAAACTGTGTTCTATTTGGGGAATATTCTCTCTTGCTTTCTAGCTTTTCTTTTTTCTCCTCACCCTTTTTCTCCTTTTCTTCTGTTTTTGTCTATCTCACATTGGCTCTCTCCCCAGTTGCAAATAGCAGAATATGCCCACAGAAGAGTCACAACAGAAAAAAAAAAATTTTAAAAATGGAGAACTGAGGAATCCAGTCAGCACCAAAGGGTGTGTAAGAGATTTCCATCATGCTAATAAAATACTTGAGAAAACTTAAAAAAGAAAAGCAATGCTTATTTTGACTTACAATTTTAGAATTTCCAGTCCATGATTGGATAGAACCATTGCTTTTAGTCTTGGGGTGGGGGTGCTGGATCAGAATGGCAGAGACTATAGTGGCATGAACTACTCATCTCATGATCAAGAAGGAAAAAAAGAAGAAAGAAAGAAAGAAAGAAAGAAAGAAAGAAAGAAAGAAAGAAAGAAAGAAAGGCAGACAGACCAGGACTCCACAGTCCCCTTCAAGGGTATACCCCAATGGCCTAAAGTCCTTCCACGAGACCCCACCTCAAGTAGTTTTACCAGCTCCCAGTAGCACCACCTTAGGGAGCAATTCATGACTACATAGATTATCAGGGGTCACTGAACATCCAGACTCTCAGGGAATGTGAGCCCTGTTGGAAGCATTTCCCCCAGCACAGCAAGGCTTCTAATAATGAAGCCACAGGCAACAGTCAGAGTGCAGCCCAGGGAGAGACTCTAATTAGCACACCTCCACTAAGCTATTCTTTAATTCTAATTTAGAGACACTGTGAAATAAATGTTTGCTGCCCTAGAAAGTAAAGTATGGAGCAGTTTGTTGGATGACCAACACATCCTCCCAGGACCTAACTCTTAAGGATAATAATACTACAAAAATGAATAAATTCATAATCCTGTGTCTTATACTTTAAAGAGTTGAGTTGGACTAGAAACATACAGTGATGTCATACTGATATTTTTATCACGAAGAACTGCAAATTTTTAATTCTTTTTAATTCATTGAAAAAAAAATTTTTTTTTTTTGTACCAGAGATTGAACTCAGGACCTTCAGCTTGCGAGGCAGGCAGCAGCACCACTGAGCTAAATCCCTGGCCCCAATTCATTGAAATTATAGTTTGCTATATCCCAAGATGTGAACTATAAATAATTCATAAAGGTAAATAGTTTGTAGTCAAAGTTCACTGAAACTGC